GCCATGTGATTGATCGTGTTGCTGAAAGTGAAGGACCAGCTAGATGTTTTTCTACATCTTGGCAGTGACTAAGTCGATGCCTCATGAAGAAATTCAAGAAATCTCTGCCCTTCACTGACTGAATTGGAGCATCTTCAGAGACAGCGGAGGTGGAGAGCGAAGCAAAGCGAATCGGACTCTTGGCAAGACTTTTCTTAACCACGCCCCAACCCTGAGTATTGACTCCTACAGCACGCTTAGAGTTGTCTGGCAGGGGCATGCCTCTTACTAGGTGACTTCAGCACATGGGTTCCGCTACTTCGGGTTGAGCATCTGAAGAGGCTGCAGCCAGATGTTTTTGATGCATGGGGATTAGAGAACCCTCCCACGCCAAGAGCTTTGTGATGCTTTGTGGTTAACATTCGTGTGAAGTAAATGCAGCGTGTAACTGACGTCTGACTGTACACCTTGCTTCAGAATGATGCTTTTTCCTTGTTACGGTTCCTCGCGGTTGGGGACTTGAGCCAGGAGTTTTCGTGGACCGCGGGATTGATGGCCTCAATCAGCAGCTGGAGGCCAACCTTGTTGGTTTGTTTGGATGTCTAAGAATACGAATAACTACCACACCACAAATTTCAAGTCTATAGTCTATAGTGATGGCTGTAGCACAAAGACCCGATGAGTAAGCCTTGAGGGTCCAGATTTTTTGTGGGTCTCCTTCGTTGCCTTTTGAGCGCTTGTGAGAGCGCCATGAGTTCAAGCGAGTGAAAAATGCACAGATCGATTTGCTCCGTCTATGATCACTTTGGCATTCCACTTGAAGAGGGGCCATCTTGCCGACAGAGAGGCACGAGCAGGACTCAGGATTGGTGTCCATTTGGCATTTGTGGAGGAGCTCCAGAAGCTCATCAGCGAGAGCGGCTTGGCCGTGACGGACCACTCCGAGGAATCGGTCTGGGTGCTTCATGCTAAAAACTCCAGAGGTAAGGCTGATCTTTTTTGGTGCTTACATGCAATTTCGGGGCTTGTGGGGTTTGGCTCTGTGAGAGGTCTTGCCGCATAGGATTTCAGGCATAAACTTTGTAATGTCCATCGGAGGAGGCCCAAAAAATGTCCGAGCGGCTGGCTTTCCACTTTTGAAGCGTTTCAGTCAACTCTACTTGCGGTTGCGCAGTGTTCTACTACCATACCAACTGCAACGGCCATGGGCAGATTTCAGCAAAGCCCGTGCTTAATTCGCCATGCGAATCAGTGTTGTTTGCTTTGGTTTGATCTTGTGCCCATAACATGCGCTGCCATCATGGGTGCAAGTAAAAAACCATGTGCAGACATCCTGGCAGGCCATCGATGCATATGCCTCTGCTGATGAGGACCTTGATGTTTTTGGCAAGTTTGCTTCACAAGGCAGGCGATACTCTTCTCCTGTTGGGGGGCGATGCCGGCGAGGTTTCCGTATAGTTGGAGGCACAGAGTTCAAGGAAAGGAGCCTGCTTGACAGCTTTGCAGCCGAATCCTCTGTCATGGTGGCTTGATATAGCTTCTTTACTTTGAAGCCTACACTTTTCGCCTTCAGCCATTAGTCCAAAGCAAGCAGAGTGTGAGGAGTCCAGCCATATGAAGCTGCATGCGCTCCAGGCCGCAAATTGCTCATGAAACTGCGAGAGCGGAATGGACCACGGAGCAAAAGGTTGTTTAAAGCGTTGGGCGGGCCATGTGTACAGCATTGCTGGTACTTATCCCTCGGTGATGATTTCGGGTTGAGTCTACACCCTCGATACACAACGCTCGCCCAGGTTTTGCCTGTATACTATCATGTTCACTCGTATTGTTTTTGCCCATGCGCTCATTCTTGTTTCGATTTAGCATCCACTCACTCTTGCTTTGATTGAACAACTGCTGCACGCTTGCCCTCAACTCAGTCATCACCATCGTTGCCACATGATCATCAACTATCATCGCTATGATGTTTATCATGGTCAGCCTTTGAAACAGGGGGTGTGGTGGTGATGACAGTGGCAGGCCTTGGGCAACGTTTCCATTGGCGTTCAGAGGCTGCAAGCCTTCGCGGAGCTGAATTACGCAGCCCCGTAGCGCAGATTGAGGGTTTTTGCGGTGACGGCAGCAGAACACTCAGGAGTGGATAGGATTTGTAGCTGATGACGAGGTGGAGCTTAAAGCTGTTGCAGTCCATCTATTGTTGTGCAGACCAGGCATCGCACCAAAATGTTTCCGCTTCTACAGCCAGACAACGCATTTGAAGACTGCTGACCCCACTGCTCTCAGCAACTTCGCCAGAGTTCGGCGCAGCGCGGTGCTGGCCGTCCTGCCCACATGCTGCTGCTGCTGCTGCTGCTGCTGCAACCACCTGCTGCAACTGCAACTGCCGACTTCAACTGCCGTCTGACCTGACATGTGGAATGCAAGAATGTTATTCAGCGTGAGTGTGTGCCTGTGGTCCGGAGCAGTTGCTGAAGCATCCAAGCCAAGGCTTTGTACAAGATCCTGAAGACGCCAGCACGTGATTATTGAGCAAGGGTCTGTTGAAGGCGGTCAAAGCCTGTGGGGCTGTGGTAGTGCCCATCCTAGCTTCCAATGCTCAATACTGTTCTGTTGGTGGTGATCATTCGTTATATACTTAGACATGAGGACCCACATGGTTGAGAGATGTGCTTGCCTGGCCTGCTTAATTTCAAATAAGGAAACACGACAAGCTCCTGAAGACAAAGTACGGTTTGGAGCAACTCTTCCCTCGCTTGGTCAAGGCATTGGCTATTTGCCTCATGCTTGCATCTGAGTTATTTTGCAATGCCAATGCCAAAGTCAATCGAACTGCAGCATGCAACTGATATATTCGATCCTGCGCACTCGTCCTGTTCCACTGGTAACGGCGGGAGTCGCGCAGTATGGCACAAGTCCAGTCTGCGCTGCAGGCATGTGCTCGGGCTCCTTGACTGTAAGCGGCTCGCAAACAATCTATCCTGAACAGGAGGGCTTCGCCGTGAAGAGGTGAATGCAAGTTCCGAATCGATTTCTATTCTAGGGTCACCTTTGTGGACCGCTGAAGTATCAACAGGCACCATTTCTACTAGAACTGCGCCCTGTGCCTACCATCTGGCTGCTTCTCGACATGTTCCTGGAACTTCGAACGGGAACTTTTTTCTGGTTGTTTTGGTTTTCGTAGCGTTTTTTGCCGCAAACCGCCGCAATTTTCCGCAACGTTCCGTGCGCAGCAAAACGCCCGCAAAAACCCGCCAAAACACCCGCAAAAACCCGCCAAACCGCCGCAAAAAAAACGCAAATACGACAAGAAAAAACAAAACGACTGGAAAAAACAAAAAAAACAAAACGACAAGAAAAAAGTTGTCGAAGGAACTTCGAGGTTGGGCCATGCTCAAAATAATCCGTATCAGGTACCAGGGACCGGGACTCCCATGTTCCCCGGTTGTCCCAGAGCCGTAATGCTCCCAGGGATATCCCTTTCGCAAAATCTCCATCTGACAGGAGACCAACCTGAGCGAGCACAGTCGGCTCCAAGTATTGAATGACGAGGCAAGAGTTTCTGTGAACATGGGTCCCCCATGGTCATTAGGGCTTCTAGGGATGTACGGGGCCTGAAGGAGATTATTGGGGATTCTTCAAAAATCTTCAGGGTTGCGCATGGAATGTTTCCCGAAACTCCCAGGTGAAAGAGCTTTCGATGAAATGCCAGCGCCTGAGAATCGTATTTCAAAATCAGGCGTAGAACTTCTAGTGCACGCGCCATCGGGCGATTCGGGTCTGCTCGCAAACGTTGTCGTGAGACCAGCAATGGTACAGCTGACATGGTGTGCAGAGTAACAGTTTATGATTGACAGTGATCAATGATTATCTTCCTGATGCCTACGAAGCCTGCGTCCTTACATGTCCGATGCTTCAATGACAGCAAGCATCAAGCACAGCCATTCCTTGCTACATGCAGAAGATGTGCGCTTCCGACCTTCAACTTGGCTATCCGTATGCACGATGTCAGCACGGCAGCATTCCTAGACTCAGCCCTCACTTACCAATCACTCAGCGCAGCCAGGTTCTCAAACATCCGCGGCTTATCTGCACCAAGGGCATGCCGCCGGGTGCCTCATGCAATGCACAATGGCTTGGCTGCAGCCTGTATATTAAAGTCTGCTACAAGCTCAGCTTGGTAGGCCCACCGAATCCCCCATGGAATCAAGCAAAAACAGACACGCACACACACAACCTATTACAAGAAAGACTTCCAGCCCTCAGAAAGCAACAGCAAAGGGCAGAGCATGTGCAAGCAATGGTCGAGCAAAGGGAAGATCCAGAGCAACAGCGGTCACAACGATAGCCTTTCTTCGCCCTACGCCCTACGCGCTATAACCGAAGCACTCGGTCCAGGACAATCAGACGCTTCGGGCTCCTGCACATGAGAGGTGTAGAAAAAATTGCGCGGCCGAAGCTCCGTGAATAATGAATGCTTCAGCATGGAGCGTCTTCTCAAAAGCTTCTCTAGGATTGGGCTCTCATTCAGGAATCCCAAACAGAAGACTACGAGACCGAGGGAGGAGTGGAGGAGGAAGGTCAGTGGAACGATATTGTTGGGACCTGGGAGACGACAGCTTCAGCGCCGATCAGGGACTGGTTCATATACATGAAGAGTAGAAGACCTGTTCAGATTTTCTAGCGCATCACATGGTAGCAGCTGAACGTGGCACGAGCACACATGGTCTCGATTTTTCAGCCCACAGCTTTTTGGTTTCCAGGCTTGAACTTTTTCGGAAGGATCCCTCTTAGATACTCGCAATCTACCAAGACCAAAGCTCCAATTGGGCCTTGTCCTCCGCATCGCTCGAAGGCCTTCTTGCGTCCAGCACATGGCCATGGCGGACACTGCTAGGATTCTTAACATAGACCGCCCACTCAAAGCCTGAAGCCCCAAAACCCCGACACAGCAGAACCCTAGATCCAAGGAATCGCCGGAAGTCGCGTGTCTCATCCATGGCCTTGGGCGCACTGGCCGCGACATGACCCTGGCTTCTGGGCCTGAAGAGTTTGGGGGTTTGACTTTTATGCTTGAAAGGGTTTGTGGCTTGGGTTTTTCAGGTTCCGGTTCTGGGTGTAAGCTAGGAACCACTTCAATTATAATCGGGTCATAACATTGTTTTCTAGATGCCTTTAGGTCAAGGCACTTCGTGCTTGGGGATTGAATGGCTGTCAGCTGCTAGTCTCTTGAGGTTCAGGGCTTCGAGGGATGTGTGAGCGTACGTTTGTTGGTGTTGGCCTGGATGTTCAGGGTTAGCATTCGGGTCCTAGAGAGGCCCAATGCCGCTCCGTGTGTTGCACTTTGCATGGGGTGGTTCATGATGGGATATGATGGGAATGGATGAAGGAATCGGGGCAAGCGCAGACTTGACTTTCTTCCTCCTGTTAACAAGTGCCGAAGCCCTTGGGCAGAGCTTGCGTGCGCCGTGGGCTCAGTGGAATAGCCGGCTACACGCAATTCAGCAGGAGAAGTCTAGGTATCCAAATCTTACGCCCAGGTCATTAATTATGCAACTCACATCCGGTGGCGCAGTCCTGCTATCTGAGGTTAATCCCATCTCTCACCGCAGCGACTTGGGCAGAACCTGATGTGATGACAAAGCGTGGCCCGTTTTTTGCGCAGCTGGTCTTGACAGCGCTGGCATGCGAAGCTGTAGTCAAGGCTTGTTCCTCACTTCAAATCCGCAGCAGCTGTTGAGGGCGATGAGATCACAAACCCCAGCTTGGAGAATGCACTTCAGCCGCGCAGCTCTAGGCGAGCTCGTGCTGAGCTTCTTTTTGGGGAGCTCCCTGGCCCTCTTCTTGGCCATTGGGGTGCTGCTGGCGCTGCCTGAGAAGAGTCGGACACCTGGTCTGTTCCTAGGGTGAGGGGTTACCTGAAGGTGAGAAAAAGGCATTCCAACAGTGGAGGCTCTGCGGCCGTCACTTGCATTGCCAAGGTCGTACGTGGGTTTTTCTCGAATTTGCCAGCGATCAGTTTTAGCTGGGATGCGTTGTGCCTCCGGGAAGAGCTTAAGAAGAAGAAGAAGCCGCAATGACTCATGGCGTGTAAGAAGACCTGAGTTATGTGATACAAAACACTGAGAATGCTGACTGCCTGTTGGGACGCTACTTTGTTGGACTCCTAAAAGTGTGTGCACACAAGTCTCTTGCTGGCGGCTCATTTGGCGTTACAAGATGGACCTCAAAACGGCCTTACCATAGCAACGTACAATCAGCGCGTTTTTCCACCTATGCAGACACTTAAATAGGGATATCTGAATCATCCGCATCTCGATATCCAAGCAAAATTCAGGTCGATCATGCTCTTTCCCAGACCCACTGGTACCCTTGTGCGTTCCCAGCTTTGCTCTGGCGATGACGCGCGCCCAGGTCCCAAGACCTTCTCCGAGGCCGCATTCTGGTTTGGACTCTTGTTGCGTCCTTCCCATCCATAGGAATAAAGGGAATAGGAGCCAGGCTATAGTGAGATTCATGACAGTATGGGTAACACTAGCGAACGTCATGGGCTTGATAGTATGAACTCGCTGCTTTTTGGCCATTCAGCGGGGGGGGGCCCCTATGCTAAGTATGGCAGTGCAGAACATTCATGAGTGTCGCGGAAGCTGCATTTGCACAAGAGCGCGGGCAGGCATATTTCTTGACGCCCATCCCCGTCTTCCGAGTCGCCCGCAGCCAAGCGCGAGCGTTCTTGTTCGATACTTGCTTTAGGGCGCGATCCGGACTTTGGACCGACATCGCTTGTGCTCATAGCAAGGTCTTTTCCTATCTCCTGATTCTTTGGTGCATGGGCGCTGTGGCCAAGATTTGCGATCAGCGCTTCGGCATTGACAGACCATTGAATTCTTGCATTTTGCGTGGATGCTGACTGAGTCTCCGAGCTCTGATGGACGCATGAGCCGACTTGCAAACATGGTGCTGCATGTTCATCTCAAGTGCAGGGGTTTGACGGTTAGGCTGAGGGCCCTCGAGATGGCGGCCCCTACGCCACTGCTGCGCGATGTAGGCGCCAGCACCCAAGAAGAGAAGCAGCGCCAGCTGGAGGCGCTGGGCCTGAGGACTGGGGCCTTCAGTGTACAGGTTCTCGGAGGAGGGGGCCATCCGGCCCTCAAGGCTCCGAGGACAGTATGGAGACCATCCCTGCAGAAAGCCCACACAGGCATGCGCTGACGGCAGAGGAGATCGAGAATCACGGAGCCTCGCCGGATCTGCCTTCCAGGAGGCAACAGCAGATCGTGCATTACGCGGCGCCCAAGCAAGAAGAGGAGCCCAATGTACGCAGCAGCAGGGAACTCTCCAACAGGGGCGTAGACTTACAGGCCTTGCTGGCGACGGTGGCCCAGCAGGTGGCCCAGCAAGTGACGCAGGCCTTGACCCAAGCTCACGGCGCAGAGGTGGCGCGCACAGCAGAGGCACACAACGAAAGAGCTGGCTATGCGGATTGGCCGATTAGAAGCGCTGCAAGAGGGCCATGGCGGCACTGCGGCAGTGGCTGGACCCAAGTTGGGCAGCAGAGGGCAGATCATCAAAGTTGAAGATCACAGCCGGAAGAGCTGCGCCGGCTGGCAGGGAGGCTTATCTGTATGCCAGAGCCTGGCACTGGCCTCGACATCGCTTTGAGACTGGTATATGGCATACAGATGGAGGAGCTGGTCACCAACTGCTATGCAGAGAGGTCCAAAAGAGTCATGCCAGATGGCTGCGACGCAAAGCTCGCCAGTATGAGGTGCAAGATGCTTGAACTCAGAAAGACACAGAAGCCTTGCGCAAGCTCCTAGATACGCGCTTCAAGCAGCTATGGGTGAAGGAGGTGATGCCCAACAGCTTTACAGACCTAGCAGCCTTTGAGGCAGCATGCAAGGAGCACGCACATTTTTTTCCTTGTCTTAACTCTATTATACAGCATAAGATTTCGGATCCTTCACCAGTCCACTGGTACTCCGGCAAGCGGATGAAACTTTGCAACCACGCTCCGTTCTGCGGCAGTTTGAGCATACTTCGAGCGGGCAGTACCTTCGCAAAACCTTGGCATATGATTATAGACTGGGATGGGATGGCACAGTTTCAGACTGGCTTCTGTCGTTCATGCATCAGACCATGTTTGCTACTCTGGCAATGAGCAAGACCATCATTAACAAAATGAGTTGGAATTCGCCTCAGCTCGTCCTCAAGCATTATGCCAAGTACATCTCTGCAAAGTGGCTGTGGGTGAGTCCGTTGATTCAACCGCTAGCTTCGCATTTGCATGACATTGATGTTATGCAAAACACAGTTATCGGCGTAATGTTGGGGCTTTTCATCCCAGCGCATTTGTCGGACCGGTGTTCTTACCCACTTCATATCCTTCGTCGCCATTTTAGCAAACAGCTTATGAGATTGTCCTCAGCTCAATGCTCTGTGGTGCAGTTCCTCAAAAGAAAGTGGAGGTATGGAGGTCATATGCTGAGAAAGCACCATACAGACATTGCCAGACAAGCTCTGTTGTTGGGCCAGCAGGACGACGCAGCCCCTTTTCGACAAATGCAAGGGGGTCCTTGGAATACATATATCAAATGGCTCCTCAAGATGTATTGTCAGCTAACACAACAATCTGAGTGCAGTTTGGATGATGTAACAGCCTGTGCTCAAGATAGGAAGTTGTGGGAGTCGTACAGCTACAGACTACCAGCTTTGCATGCCATCAATCCTTCGTGGCTAGCATACAGTCCCCGTACGTGCCTGCGTGACTGTCTACAAGCAGTAATTCCCTGGCATCACACGATATTCATGAAGCACAGCAATCGTGGTCTGGACTTCTTGTATTTGCACGAACAGGAGGGCATGCAGATCATGCACTCGGACACGGCAGATCTTGTAGAAGCCATCACTTGGCAAGTAGGCTGGTTTCGACTCCCGTGTTTGCACTTTCCATCAGTGTTTGTGATGACGTGTATGACAGCTGTGTCTGTGACATTCCTCGTCTCGTTTGCAATATCTGGCGGCGCTACGAAGTTGTGGTGCAGATCACGGTAGTTCCTACTAGCTGGGTCCATCAGATTGAGTCCTTGTTTTGATTTCCCGCCC